AGCCAATGAGATTAAAAGGAGCCTCTGATGTCACAAGACAAGGCCCTGATTGGCCTGGATCTGAGATTTGAATAATAACCCCCAACCGGCTGCCTTCACCTGGGGGGCGGGCCTTATCCACTGAATCTTAAAGGGCTCTTACAAGGAAGCCCTGAATCGCATCAACCAGAGCTCGTCCATCTGAACGGACAGCTGTCAGTTGTCTGGAGAGCTGGGAAGCCACAGGTTGTTCCCCTTGTTTGGGGGTGCAGTCCAAATTAAAAGGTGGTCCCTTGTATCTGGAGTCTGGCATTAGAGAGCCAGGGAATCCAGGCTTTCCTCTCCAGGCCCGGCTGAAGAGGAGTTGGAAGAGAAATGGGAGGAAGGATCAGGGATCATTCAGCTGAAGAAGAGATGGTGAGAAGGTGGCTGAAGAAACGCAGGGATTCAATTTCACACCGTCCCTAATCAAGGACCCCGTAGTCGTCTTCTGCTTACAACCAGGAGAGTCCCAGGTTCTGATGGCCCTGAAAAAAGGGATCTATGACGGGTCCTCGCACGTATGACTGAAAGCAGCATCCCCATGGTCACACGCTCCTGACAACAGGCACGGAAATACGACAAGCAACATCAAAGGTCGAAACTGAACTTGCTTAATGACCACCTGATTCACAAAAAAGATGTGCTTAATAACCATGGCAGGAACATTGCAAAACTGAGAGCAACTCACTTAACGACCACCCAGCTTACCAATTGCAATACTGGTAGTAAGTCAAGGACTATCTTAAGGATGCAGCAGCGGACTGATCTGGAAAAGCTGAAGCAGGCTTGGATTTAAACAGGGTTGGGAGACCACCAGGAGATGCCAGGGTTCGGTTGAGAAGGGAGTCGGAAGCTTTTTCTCCCTTTTCCCTCCCCCGTTTTCCCTCCCATTTTCTCCTGCATTTCTGCATTTTATATTATCAACTGAGGAAAAAATAGAAAAGCAGAGAGAGAGAAAAAGGCAGAGGCCGACCTCTCCTGCTCTCAAGAAAACCGCCTGGACGCAGCCGTCCAATTCATGGGGCTGATCCCATCACACCAAGGGCAGGGGGGCTTTCATTCCTCTGGGACCCGCAGAGTGACCAGCCGATGTCGGAAATACTCACTTAATGACAATGACTATTGCAAGGACCCACCTCCAGAACCCGAGGGGTGGGGGGGGCTCTCTGTGTCCAGGAGTTTCTCTCCTTTGCTCTCGGATGGGGCTGCTCTACCCCAGAAAGACCCGGGGGGGGGATTGTGGTTCTGCTGGAACATGAGGCAGCAGTGGGGACGAGCAGGGCCTTTGCCCAAAATCCACCCTGCCTTAACATTGCTAGGAAGCAAGAGATCCTGAGTTCAAGTCCTGCCTTAGGCCTGAAAGCCTGTTTGCTGACCTCGGGAAAGACCCTCTCTTTCAGACAAGCCCACCTCACAGGGTTATTGTTGTGGGAAAAAAAGGAAGAGGAAGAGTTGGACATGTTCACCTCCTTTAGTTATTTGTAAAAATAATAAAACACTGGTGGAAAATCTAACAAATATAAAAACCAGCTTTCCTGCTTCTGTTTGCATGGAATCTGTCACAGCCTTGTGCAGATACAGGAATTTCTCTTCTCACAAGGAGGAAGAGTTTTTTTTATCATCCCTTCCAATTTCACTCACTCCCTTTTTTTCAGCCTTTGGGGGCTTCGGACCCCCTCCCAGCCCTGGGACACAGCAGGTTTCCCTGTTTCTTTGGGAAAGATTCCTTCCCAATCAGAGTCCGCCTGAGCCCCATCATCCACTTCCCTCCCTGCCTGGGATCAGCTGAATTCCTCCATTCAGACAACAGAAAAAAGGGAGTTTGCACAAAATCTCAGGGTCAGCCTCCATTCTTCCACACAGAGGGTCCCTCTCACTCTGCAAAGCCAAATTCTCCCTGCCTTCCTGGATACCTCCTGAGCTCACAGCAGGGCCAGGGTGGCTGAGAATTGGGACGGAAGGGACCACAAACCTTTCCAGCCACAAGAGACACTTGGACACAGACTGTGGTCTCACACACTCTCCTAAATGATGCCTTTATGTGGCAGTGGGAAGGGTTATGGGCTCAATCTCCCAACACTCACCCTATAGGGCTGCCCCATCTGTTGTCCCTGGTGGCAGATGGAAGATTGTGACTCCCACTCCTGACACCAGTTTCTGTGGAATGAAACACAGGACCTAAAAAACCCAATAATCCAGGCTCACTGCAGTTGTTATTTATTCAGTGTCCATTGGAGGAAATCTTACAGACAAAAGGATGCACTCAGATTTATACATTCCAGGAAAGGAGGCGAAAAGGACAATCATACATATGCATATTTCATTTAATAGATGATGTAAGCATGAATACTCAGAATTAGGGAGACTCAAGTTATCTCCCCAGCCTTGTATTGTTGCTACCCTCAAGAAAGAGTTATTGTGTAAACAAAAACAAACGTCTCAGTTGCGTTGCCAGAGCAGTTTGGGTGAAATGTACTGAGAAATGAGGGCATCAACGTTGCTCCATACATTCCTTCTCTATTTCTGTCTTGCTAACATGCTCCCATTTCTCCAAGAAATTTGTCTCCTCACAATCTTCCACACACCCTTTACTTATTTCAAGAAAAATAGTTGGCCCACTCATGCATGCAGAACAGCTTGGACCATTTTCTATGTTTGGACTGTGAAAAACGTTAAAAGTTGAAATTCCTCAGTCTCACATTTCCACATTTCTTCTGGCTGAAAGTTGCTCCTTTGTGAAGAATTCAAAAATTCCCAAATTTGAAACATATACACAGTGGTGGGATTCAATTTTTTTAACAACCGGATCTGTGGGCGTGGCTTAGTTGGGGCTGTGGCTTGGTGGTCATGTGACTGGGTGGATGTGGCTAGCTGGTCATGTGACTGGGTGGGTGTGGCTAGCTGGACATGTGACTGGGTGGGCGTGGCTATGTGCATAGGGACTACTCAGAGGGCTGAAAAAAGTCATTTCTGACCGGTCCTCACACTTTTGACCGGTTCTCGCACTTATGACCATCCTCACATTTATGCCCGTTGAGGCATTCTTAACAACCGTGTCAGTCATTTCACCACTACTTCTCTTCACCACGGTGACAAGATAGGGTGCAAAATGTAAAATGTGAGGACAGTCGTAAGTTCAAGGACTGGTCAAAAGTGCAAGGACCGGTCAAAAATAACTTTGCCTTTCTCTGCATGGCAGCCTTGTCCTAGTAAACTCCTTCTCCTTTCTGACAATTTTCCTCTCTGTTAGAGGCACCAAAATAATCCAGGAAGGTTTCCTGCTGGAGCAGGGGGCTGGACTAGATGGCCTCTAAGGTCCCTTCCAGCCCTAGATTGCTATCCTGTTTCAACGTATCTTCTGAAGCCACATCTAGTGCCAGGGTTTGTGGTCCTTCCTTCCTTTTCTCTCTCTTTCTCTCCCTCTTCCCCCTTCCTTCCTCTTTCTTTCTCTTCTTTCTTTTTCTCTTTCTCTCTCACCCTTCCTCTTTCTTTGTCTCTTTTTCTTAATCTCTCTTTTCTCTCTCTCTCTCTCCCTTTCTTTCTTTTTTCTTTCTTTTCTTTCTTTCTTTCCTTCTTTTTCTCTTTCTCTCTCTTTGTCTCTTTCTTTTCTTTCTCTCTCCCTCTTTCCTTCTTTCTCTTTCTTTCTTTGTCTCTTCCTTTGTCTCTTTTTCTATTTCTCTCTCTCCCTCCCTCCCTTTCCTCCTGAAATGCCAGCAAAACCCACCACTTTGCTCCTAAGGTGGTCTAGGGCAGGGGTCTCCAACCTTGGCAACATTTAGTCTTTGGACTTCAACTCCCAGAGTTCCTCAGCCAGCAAATCTGGCTCCCTCTCTCTCATGTTGCTTCTCGGCCTGAGCAACAAAGCCCCCCCCCGCCCCCCGCCGGACCTTTGGTCTCCTCAGCCTGTCAGGAGAAGGAAGGACAGGCAGGAGGGCGCTGGGGGGAGGGGGGGCTGTCCGGCCAGGTCAAGTGCAGGACCAGGTATTAAAGGAGGAACCATCTGTGCTTGGAAGAGGATCCCACCCCACCCCACTTCCCTTTTACCTTTCTTTAACGTGTCCCGCTTCCCGCCCCAAACCTTGGGAGACGGCGTCCTCCGCGCCACAAAACCCTTGAGGTGGCTGCAGGAGGGGGAAAAGAAAAGAAAAGCCTTGGCCTCTGAAGCCTCTTGAAGGCTTTGAAGGTGTGTGTGTGTTTGGTGGCGCTGAAGTGAGCCACGCAATCGGCCCCTTGCCTTCCGCTGCCTCTTCCTTCTCTCTGCCTCTTCCTTCTCTCTGCCAACAGAAGTCGGAGGGGGAAAGGCAGTTGCTTTGCTGAGTGTTTCTCCGCGTTTCCAGTGAGGGCGGCTGACTTGGGATGAAATGCAGAGAAACGCTTGGCGAAGCAACTGCCTTTCCCCCTCCGACTTCTGTTAGCAGAGAGAAGGAAGAGGCAGAGGTGGAGGCGGCAGCGGAAGGCAAGGGGCCGATCGCAGCTGGTGTGGTTATCCAGCGGGCTCCCTTCATGTGGCTTCCTTCAGTGCCGCCAAACACACACACACGTTCGAAGCCTTCAAGAGGCCAAGGTTTGTTTTTTTCTTTTCCCCCTTGAGGGCCTTGCTGCATGGAGGACGCCGTCTCCCAAGGTTTGGGAGAGAAGCGGGGCGCATTAAAGAAAGGTAAAATGGAAGCGGGTTGGGGTGGGTGGCAAGGTGGCCATGGGGACCCCAGGAAGGCAGCGTGGAAGGCAGGCAAGCATGGCAGGACTTCGGGGAAGGAAGGAAGCTGCTAGCTCTCTTCCCCACAGCCAGGTGGCCCTGACACAGTTGCCTGCCTTCCCGGCAGTCCCCGTGGCCAGGTCTGCTTGCCTGCCTTCGCAAGCTGGTCTTGGGGATGCTAGGAAGGCCGCGTGGAAGGCAGGGAAGCATGGCAGGGTTACGGGCTGCGGGGAAGGGAGTAGGGGAGGCAGGCTGGGGTGGTGGGGGCGGGGGGTGGCAGGGGCAGCTAGGTAGGCCGCGACTCGCAGGCTTACCTGGCAGGCACAGTACTTCAGTATTTCAGCAAGGACTCACACAGTATAAGTGAGGAGTGACTGGGTGGAGGGGGGCGGGGCGAGCGAGCATACCGGTTTGGGGGCATGGCCAGCCAGCAATTACTAACGGTTCTCCGAACCAGCCCAAATTACTGCTACCAGTCCTTGTGAACCAGGGAGAACCAGTAGCAACCCACCACTACTGCAAGGCCAATAAATTACAAAAAAACCACGAACCATTTGTTAAATCTAATAAAATGAAATGAAATTACTGGCTCGCCCGCCCCTCGCTCTGCCCCCACTATTTATTGGCAAGAGGCGGGGCGAGCCAGCAATTTAACAAACGGTTTGGCCAAACCGCCTAGAACCGGCAGAATCCCACCATTGCATATATGTATGATTTTCTTTGACTCCTGCATATTATCTAAATGGAAAGAATATCTCTTTTCAAATAAAAGAAACTTTTAACAATTCTTCAATATCACATTTGTGTTATACTGTAACTCAGGTTTTCACATTTGTTCTGCCTGTGAGCTGCTCCTTTGTGTTGAGGTCTGGCCTCAGAAGGATAATGTAGCACTTGGGGATGAAGATGCAGCCCAGCAGACCAGCACTGGAGGCCAGGATGGAGAAGACCTGCACAGCCACCATGGATTTCCCTTTGGTGCTCAGGTAGGTGGGCACAAAAGTCACCCAGACACTGCAGAAGACCAGCATGCTGAAGGTGATCAGCTTGGCTTCGTTGAAGGCCCCAGGCAGATTCCTGGCCAGGAAAGCCACCGTGAAGCAGATGGCAGCCAGGAAGCCCATGTAGCTGAGGGTGACGTAGAACATGACAACGGCCCCTTCGTTGCATTGCAGGATGATCTCTCCAGGCTGGGAGTGGAGGTCAGAGTCAGGGAAGGGAGCAGAAACTCCCAGCCAGATGGAGCAGATGATAATTTGGACAGCAGAACAAGAAAGGATGATGGAGTTGGCCAAGCTCTTCCCCAACCATCTCTTCACTCGGTTTCCTGGTTTTGTGGCCAGGAAGGCCAGCACCACCATGATGGTTTTGGCCAAGAGAGAAGAAACGGCAACTGAGAAGATGATGCTGAAAACTGTTTGTCGGAGAAGGCAGGTGGCTTTCCTTGGTTGACCAATGAAGAGAAGAGGAGACAAGAAGCAAAGCAGGAGGGAGACCAGGAGGATGTAGGAGAGGTCCCGGTTGTTGGCTTTGACAAGGGGAGTTTCTCTGTATTTCATGAAGATGATTAAAACAAGATCTGTGGTTAGGAAAAAGAGTAGGGCAAAAGAGACCAGGATGATGCCCAGAAGTTCTTCATAAGACAGGAAAGTTATAGCTTTGAAGATACATTGGACTCTGGCCTCATTTGGATATTTATCATCCGGGCACTTGGTGCATTTTTGTGTATCTGAGAAAGACAAAAAGCAACATTTCTTTAATATTCTGTTTTTTTCTCTTCCAATAGAAACCTTCTTTGGAAAACAGCTGATACCACAGACATTTTCCAAGAAGAATTTCTTTACATTAGAAAGAGCATAAGAAGGATATTTTTTTTCTTTAAAAATGTAGCTAGGTATATGAAGTTGAGGGAAGTCCTAGGATGTTAATTATTTCCTGTGTAATGTGTAGAATCTTCATAGGAACCTACATTATTAGAGGTTAATAATGAATCATATAATCTTTTTAGGCAAACATCCTGAGTCCTGCCACATGGCAGTTAATATCCTGGACTTGGAGGATTCCTACAGTATCTTGTAACATCTGGAAGCAACCTGGAATTAAGGAGAAACTTCCTATCAGTGAGAGCAATTAGCCAGTGGAACAGCTGGCCTCCAGAAGTTGTGGGTGCTTCAACATTGGAGGTTTTTAAGAAGAGAATGGACAGTCACTTGTCTGAAATGGTATAGGGTCTCCTCCTTGAGCAGGGGGCTGGACTAGAAGACCTCCAAGGTTCCTTCCAGCTCTTTTCTGATTGATTGATCTATATGATTGGAAGATTATTTGTGTAATGAGTTCCCCCCATAACTATCCACAGCACCAGATTATGGCCCAGTGAGACCTTCTCAGTGATCCTCAAGGGAGGCCAATAAACAATGAATTGCAAGGTCTTTCAGAAGGTGGACCTGAAACAATTCATCTAGTTTCAAAGATCTCAGATGTTCCTAGAAAGGTGAACTTAGCAGCACATATCCAAATTAAAAAGCAGAAGAGATATTTCCTCTGCTGTTAGTAAAGCTTGCCCAGTCTGCCACCCCCTCCTCCCATCTCTCTCCAAGTCTTTTTGATTTACTTCTGTTTAGATAAGAAATTGTGCAGGTTAAAAATAAAAAACCCATGTGAGCTGCGATCTATCCTTTAACTTGCACTTTCATGAACTGGATGGATCCAGTTCCACAAAGCCTCCCATTTTCCTCAGTGTGACCCACCTTCCTGAGTGGAGAAGGTCCCCTCCGGACAAGGAACGCAGTCATAGCAGCAAACTGGCTCTCCTTCTCGAGCCCTCTTGACAAATCCAGGATGACAACTTTCCACACATTTGGACTGAGGCAGGGACTGAACAGAAAAACAAAGAATCCCAAAGAAAATATGTTAGGATTTCCATCCATGGAAAATGGGGGAAAATAAACATTAGACAAGTAGATTCTGGGCTTCATGAAGGTAAATATGAAATCTTTGACTCCTTCCAAACAGGTTTTGGAGATGAGACTCTGGCAGGTTCTTTCGTTAGTTCCTCCCTTTTGCTTCTGGCATTTAACACCGCAATATAGGACTTTTCTATTTAATGTAGTCTAGAGGGATGGAATTGAAAAAAGATTTAAATATGATGATATATTCTTATTAAAACTGATAATAAAATTTACAGTAAAAGATTTAGGAAATTTTATTCTATTAGGTTTTTTAATATGAAATTAAACTGTGATGAAGAAAGAAACCTCTGACCAGTAAGATCTTGAAAGGTTTCCATAGAACATGGCAAAGCCACTCCACTTAGGTCCCGTCTCTTGAAGAGCTTCCATGAGATGACACCACCTGGCATGGGAGGCCAACCACCCTGGAGACTCTAGACTTTGCCCACATGAAATGGGACCTCAGGCTTTGGAAAACAGAAAAAAGACACCAAAATTTCTCTCACCTTATTGAGCAACTTTAGCTGTGAAAAAGCATCTTGGTTGATAGAAAGTCTCTGTCTTTCAAAATATGCCAGAATCTCTTCCCTGATACCCCCCTTGGGGAGAACCAACAAGCTGTCAATGCTCAGATCTGCTGTTATCTCTCCATTTTGGTCCAAGTACAGTTTTCTTCGAGAAATATTCCAAAAATCATTCTTCTCCATAAAGGGATGAAACTAGAATGGGAACGTCCAGGAATTTGAAAAACAGAGAACTTTGTTTTTATCCCACATTGTATCTTTCTTCTACAATTGTCTAATCTCCAAATATGCTTAATTAGGATACAAATACTGCCATCGTCTTCATACGTGAACAAGAAAGTTTGAGAAAAATTTGTCAATTGATATACTGACAAAATATTTAAAAAGTATATAATTGATACAATTTGTTAGATCGTGGGTGCAAAGAAGGAGAGGACTCGTTGTATAGCTTACACATTTATTTAACTCTGTAGTTGCAATGGCGCTAGCAGCCGCAACAGCTCCTTTTATACGGGAGCTGTCCCCGGCTTCAGCCACTGATGCTTATTTAAAGTTCCCGCTCTCAGGATTGATTCCTGATAGGACTATTTGAATTGTCACTCGATACTTAACTCAGTGTCCGCCAATCCGGTGTCCGCTATGCAACATAGTCCCGCAAGTAGGCGGGTCACCGTGGGGCTCGACTGGATCTGCGCAGATCCGTCGGTTGTGTGTCCTCGGAGTGAGAGGTCGAGTTCTGCTGCTCTCCTGGTGCTGTCTCTGGAACTCTCTCGAACTCTGGGGCTGGGTTGGATCTATTCTGTTCAATTTCTTTTCCTGCTCCCCTCGGCTGTCTTTGGCGTTCTTCTCCAGGATCCTGCTCTTCCTCTCGGCCTTCAGTTAAGTCTCCTGTGTTTCGATCTGGGTTTGAGTTTTCTCTTTGCCGTTGTGGTAGCGCCGCTTCTGCCGTTGTATTTTTTTCTTTCCAAATCTTTTGGCAGTCCTTTTCCGGCTCGCTCTCGTTTCTCGTGACTCATCCTCTGAGTTGGTCTATATGCCTCTTCCAGTGCTGTCCATCTTCCGTCTGGACTCTGTATGATAGTGGGCCCGTTACTTGTGTGTTATCTCTGCCGGTACCCAGAGGGGGCTTCCGTTCAGATTCTTGGCGTAGACTTTCTCTCCTTCCTGGAACTCCCGGACTCGGCTCGTAGAATCGGTTGGTTTTTCTGAGCTGTACTGGGGGTGTAGTCTATCTAGTGGGGATCTCAATTTCCTTCCCATCAGTAGTTTTGCTGGGCTCCAGTGGGTTGTGGCGCTTGGTGTGATGTGTTGTATTGCTAGTAGTTTGTCGATATTTGCTTGTATGTCCCCTGGTCCCAACCTTGTTAACGTTTCTTTTGTGGATCTGACCATTCGTTCAGCCAATCCGATCGTCGAAGGTTTTCCCAATGCTGACAATGCGTGTCGTATCCCTTGTTCTGCTAAGAACATCTCAAAAGAGTTCACTGTGAACTGGGGGCCGTTATCGGAGACTATGAGGTCGGGTAGGTTGAGAGTGGCGAATAGCCTTCTTAGCACTAGTATAATGGCTTCTGATGTCGTTGATTTCATAAGAGCCACCTCCAACCATTTCAAGAATGCGTCTACAATAATTAGGAATATGTTTCCTTTGCATGGCCCGGCGAAGTCGATATGCAGTCTAGACCATGGTGTTCCCGGGTTCTCCAAATCGTGGGTGGGCGCTGATTTCGAGGCTGCTTGGAATTCTTGGCAAGGCTCGCAGGTTGACACCCTTGCTTCAATTTCTTTGTTCATCCCGGGCCACCATACATAGCTCCTAGGTAGAGCCTTCATCGTCACGATACCTGGGTGTCCTTCATGTAGCAGCTTCAGTATTCCTTGTCTTAGTGTGTTTGGAATGACGACCCTGTCTCCCCATAGTACACAACCCCTCAGCCCCGAGAGTTCGTTTTCTCTCCTTTTGAATGGCAGGAATTCTGAGTCCACGCCTTCTTCTGGCCACCCTTTCCAGATCTAATTTAAAACTCGCGCCAATGTCCTGTCTCTGATGGTGGCTCTCGCGATGTCTGCTGCCAATATCCGGTTTTCCTCCAAGGTTTCGATGAGGAGTGTAGTTGTTGTTGGGGCAGGATCTTCTCCCATTTCTGGAAGTGGGCATCTGCTTAGGGCATCCACATGGTCTATCGTTTTTCCTGGTTTGTGTTGGAGTGTATAGTTGTAGGCAGCCAAGAATTCTATCCACCTCAGCATTCGGGGTGACAGGATGGGGGGTGTGGGTCTTTCCCCCGCTATGATACCAAGTAGCGGTTTGTGGCGGGTTATGAGTTCAAATTTCCGACCGTAGAGGTATTCGTGAAACCGTTTTATTCCGGCTACTGCAACCAATGCTTCTTTGTCCAGTTGGCTGTAGTTTCTTTCTGGTTTTGACAGAGTCCAAGAGAAAAATGCAGTGGGGGCTTCTTTTCCATTTGGCAAGGTGTGGCTCAATACCGCTCCAATGCCGAAGGGGGACGCATCAAACGTTAGTCTTATTGGCACTGTCCCGCTGTATTGCACAAGTACTCTGTCCAACGTCAATAGTTTTTTTTTATGTCTTCAAATGCCTTCTTTTCGGTAGCCCCCCATCTCCATTCTACCATTCTGTCCAGTAGCCAGTGGAGCAGTTCAGCAGTAGTCGCTTTCTGTGGCAAGAATATATTATAAAAATTAAGCAACCCCAGAAATGCCTGCAGCTCCATCTTATTCTTGGGTGTAGGGGCCTCTTTGATGGCTCTCAGCTTTCCGGGTGTGGGCCTGATCCCCGACCCGTTGATTAGATACCCCAAGAATTCAACCTGTTTTTCTGCTAGGTGGCACTTCACCTAGCAGTCTCTCTTCACCTTAAGCCCTACTTTTTGAAATCTTGCCAGTACCTCCTGCAATCTTGGCTTCAATTGGGTTAGGTCTTTTGCTGATATGAGGACATCGTCAAAGTAAGGGACAACTCTGTCGATTCCTTGCAGAAGCCGCTCCATCAGGCTCTGGAATACCTGGACGCTACGCTCACCCCAAATTGTAGTCTTTTGCATTTAAATGCCCCCCTGTGAGTGACGATCATTTGGGCTTCAGCGGTGGCCTTGTCTACTGGGAGCTGTTGGTATGCTTGCGCCAAATCTAGCTTCGCAAAGATCTTTCCCCAGCCCAGCGAATGCAATAGGTGCTGCACTACAGGCATGGGGTATGCATTTTGCTGAAGTGCCTTGTTAATGGTACTTTTGTAGTCCCCGCACAAATGTACTGACCCATCTGGCTTGATGGGTGTCACTATAGGGGTTTCCCACTTTGCGTGATCTGTAGGTTCTAAGACTCCCTGAGCAACCAGCTTGTCTAGTTGCTCATCTATCTTAGGCCTTAGAGCAAATGGGACCCTTCGGCGCTTTATCCGGACAGGGGCTACCTGTGGATCTAGGCTAAAGGTAATTGGGGACCCCTTATACTTGCCAAGCTCGCCGTTAAAAACTTCCGCAAACTCCTTCATTAGGACTTCCTTCCAGCCGTCATCTCAGATATGGTGGATGCCGGTAATTGCAAGTCCAAGCGGTTCGAACCACTCCATACCCAATAGGCTGGGCCTGTCTCTGTCCACTATGGTGAGAGGCAATTTGGCTTTGAAGTTCTTGTATGCGATGTTGAACGTGCCGGTGCCCACTACAGGAATTTGAGGCCCTGGTAGTCGATGAGTGTTAGCTGTTGTCGTTTTAGATCACGGCTGGTGATGTGCGGAATTAGCTTCTTTATCGTTGTCCATGATACCATTGATAGGCTGGACCCTGAGTTGACCTCCATCTTACAGGGCCTCCCTTCTTTGAGGATGGTCAATGCCATCTTGTTTGCTTTTCCCGCGCTGGCATGGCCCACCACGATGGTATGGTGGGTCTCTCCCCGGTCTACTCTGTGGTTCTCGCTCCTCTGCCCTCATCCAAAAGGCTGCTTTTTTCCTCCGGATGGGAATCTCTTGTTACTGGGTGGTGAACGGGGCGGCCGGTTTCTTCTGGATGCTGGCTGTGATGCCCTGCAGGCTCTTGCTATGTGCCCTTTCCGCTCACATTGCTGGCATATAGCATTGCAGAATGTGCATTCAGATTGTGGATGATTTCCTTCGCATCCCGAGCACCAGATTTCTTTCCTTCCTTTTGCTTGTGGCTTTTCCCTACGTCTGGATTGTAGGTAGTGGACCTCGTCCTCCTCTTCTTCTTCCCCCGATTCTGTCTCTGCTTCCTCATAATGCACGGAGGCTTCATCCTTTACTGGTGGCCCGTTTTTCATTTTTTTCATAGCTGCCGCGGATTTCTGGGAAGCTTCGGTTGCTGATGCTTCTTCCAAAGCCTCCTTGAATGTGATTTGTGGTCTGGCCAGCAGCCTGCTCTATAGTGTTAGGTCTCTCAGTCCCAATACCAGATGGTCCCTCATGGTCTCTTCCGGACTCATGAAGTCGCATGCGGCGGATATTTCCCATAAGGTTGCTACAAACTCACTAATCGTCTCCCCTTCTTTCTGGTCCCTCTGATAAAATTCATGCCTTTTTACCAGAGAGGACGCTTGAGGTGCGTAGTGTGCCTTTAGGATGTCTTGTAGAGTCGGCCAAATCATCGTTCTTAGGTCGGCCGGGGCAGCGAGCGCTTTGGCCTGAAAAGTTAGCCAGGATCCTTTCTGAGTTTCTTTCTCTCCCATTATGCAGCTGCAGGATTCTCCCCTCTTCTCTGATCCTTCCCTAGGCAGCCTCTCTTCCCCTCATCCCAAAAGTCTTTCTCACACATCATTACACTTCCTAAATAGATTATGGGAACTCTGGTGATATCACTGGATTTTAGCAAAGGACTCGCAAACAATTGTGTGATGTGATTAGAAACCTGAGGCCTGGATAATAAGTGGATAAAAACTGTCTTCAAAATGATATTGAAATAGTTTTTAACCCTTTTTAATCTTTCCTATGAAACTTGAAGGTGATGAATAAGGGGGATAACTGTTGCATATATGGTGAGGAGAAACAAAGAGAAGAAGGAACAACGAATGTCAACATTGGAGAAGCTGAAAAAATTAGAATTATCACTTCAGAAAGATCCCCAAAACAGGAAAGTCAGAAAGGAAATGGAGTTAATGAAACATAAAATTAATATACTAGAACAGGAAGAAATGATAAGGAATAGAAAATTGGCAAAACAAAACTATTTTGAATCGGCAAATAAACCAGGGAGATGGCTCGCCCACAAATTGAAAAAAGAAAAAGCTAAAAAGTTGGTACAATATTTACGAGACGAGCAAGGAAATTTGCTCCATAGAATTGAGGGGGGGAAAATATTATTCAAAATTATTTTCAAATACTATATAGTCAAGAAAACATTAAAGAAGAAAATATTATAAATTACCTACAGGAGAGGAACTTGCCAAGTATAACAGATGAAGATAGGGAAATGTTGAAAGGGGAAATTACATTAACAGAGTTAAGAGAGGCAATTAAAAAACAGAAAAATAACAAAACACCAGGGACAGATGGAATTCCGGCGGAAGTATATAAAAAATTTCAGACAACAATAACAACATGGCATTTATATTAGAGGACCCTTTGGAAACAGGAGAAAAACTCCTACTAGAAATAGAGAAATTTGGAATAGTAGCAGGCCTGAAAATAAATAAAAACAAAACAAAGATAATTACCAAGAATATCTATAGATATTATTACAGATGTCGGTATCGGAAAGCTGTAAAAATGTAACAAGGATGTTAAAGATATAAATGTTGAATAAAAAATTAATTTAAAAAAACAAAACAAAAAACAAAAACAAAAACAAAATGCCATGGTATCTACTCTTTGGAGCCATTATTCCCTGAGTAATTGAATTGGCCAGATCTGTTGAGGTAGTTCCCCTCCTTCTCCTCTGGATTCCTCCTCCAAAGGATCTCAGATTAATGGATGCATATCGGGACCCCCATACCTGCCACGGCTGCAGCCTTGGAGACCCCAAAATCTTTTCTCCCTCCTTCCTTCTCCTCCTTGATCTGGAGGAATAAGCGGCATTCAAAGCCTGGGCCAGAGTCTTCATCAGATTGTGACATTGATAGTCATTTCGGATCCTTCCTCTGTTCCTTTTCTTCTGGGTGTCCATTGGGGCTTTCTGGGTGCATCTTCTGCGGCCTTTGACAGAAAAGACGTTCTTTGAAAGAGAACAGCGGAAATAATAATCTTGAAACTGATATTCCACAAAGAAATGGGGTTCAAAGGCAGAATCCTTTGGCCTTTTTTTCCCCAGATAACCAAAGTTCAAAATACTATGGATGTATTTGAGAAGTCTACGATTCTTCATTTCATATCCTGCAAAATTTGTGAGGAACCAGACTTTCCCTTCAATGGGTCCTAGCAGACGCATAAATGTTTCATGGAAAGGAAGAATTCTATCCCAAATGGAATCATATTCCATGAAGTGAACAAAGACGTTGACTTGTCTCCACTTAGAGAGGGACTCCCTCAGGGATGCTGTATATCCAGTTGTTGAGAACAGTTGTGATATAACAACACAAATTCCACTCCTGACAAGCACAGGAGGAAAAATCCTCATGAAATTCTCTCCCTCCTCTGTGTCTGAAGCAAAGAGGCCAATCAAGGTCCATCTGAAATGGAGGAGCAGGTGGACAATTGCTGGGTACTGGAATCCTTCTTTGGGAAGAATCTGGTGGAAAAAGGGGAATTTCCGTTTATCACTCAGAGCCTCTGAAACAATGTCATGACTGATCTGAAAAAACAAAGAAGAATGCTGTGTTATACTTGGGATCAGATCACGTCCAAAATATTAGATTTTAATAAATCCAACCTGATTCTCATGAATGTATTAGAATAGTTTGTTAATCAGACATTGTTTAAAATACTAAGACAGAACATTAGCAAGATTGTATCATAATAATGGAAAATAATAAGCAAATTAAAAAACAATGTAAATCATAGATTACATTAACAGAGGGATACAATCAAGATCAAGAGAGGTACTAATACCACCCTATAAAGCCCTAGTAAGACCACACCTAGAATCCTGCATCCAGTTTTGGTCACCACACTATAAAAAAGATGTTGAGACTCCAGAAAAAGTGCAGAGAAGAGCAACCAAGAGGATTAGGGGACTGGAGGCTAAAACATACAATGAACGGTTGCAGGAACTGGGCATGGCTGGTCTAGTGAAGAGAAGGACCAGGGGAGACATGATAGCAGTCTTCCAATATTTGAGGGGCTTCCACAGAGAGGAGGGGGTCAAGCTATTTTCCAAAGCACCCAAAGGGCAGACAAAGGGCGGACAAGGAATAATGGATGGAAACTGAACAAGGAGAGATTCAACCTGGAAATAAAGAGATAAAGTTGCCTTCAGAAGTTGTGGGAGCTTCATAACTGGAAGCTTTCAAGAAGAGATTGGACCGTCATCTGCCAGAAATGGTGTAGGGTCTGCTTGGACTAGATGACCTACAAGGTCCCTTCCAACTCTGTTAATCTGTATCTATCTATACTATTCCAGACAAGTGGCTGTCCAGTCTCTTCTTAAAAGCCTCCAGTGATGGACCACCCACAATTTCTGAAGGGGAGACGTTCCATTCCTCACCATTAGGAAATTTCTCCTTAGTTCTAGGTTGTTTCTCTCCTTGATTAGTTTCCATCCATTGTTTCCTGTCTTGCCTTTAGTATTTTGGAAAATAGGAGGACCGTCTCTTCTTTGTGGCAGCCCCCCAAATATTGGTACATTGCTATGATGTCACCCCTCGTCCTTTTCACTAGACTAGACATACTGAATTCCTGCAACTGTTCCTCATATATTTTAGTCTCCAGGCCCTTAATCATCTTTTCTGCACACTTTCCAGAGTCTCTACATCTTGTTTATAATATGGAGACTAAAACTGGATGTGGTCTTGACAAGGCATTATAAGGCAGTACCAATAATTCATGTGATCTTGATTTTATCCCTCTGTTAATGCAACCTAGGACTGAATTAGCTTTTTTAGCTGCTGCTTGCTCATATTTAAGTGATTGTCCACTAGGACTACAAGATCCCTCTCACAGTTATACTTATTGAGCCAGGTTTCACATCATCTGTACGTGGACATTTGGTTTTTCTAGCCTAAGTATAAAACCTTACTTTTCTCTACAATGAATTACAGTTTGTTAGATAGGCCCAGGGTTCAAATCTACTTAGATCAATCTGGATCTTCAGCCTATCTTCTGGGGTGTTGGCTATTCCTGCCACTTTAGTGTTGTCTTCAAATTTGATGATTTCCCCATTTCTCCCCTCATCCAAATCATTCATGAAGACATTGAAGAGAACTGGGCCTAAAATGGAACCTTGGGGTCCCCCACTGCTTTTTTCCCTCTGTGCAGACGTTGTTCCACTGAGGACCACAGGCTGAGCCCATCTGGGGGTGATGCTGTCTCTCCCACATATTTTCAGCTTCCCTAGAAATAGGTTGTGGTTTACTTTGTCAAAGCCTTTCTAAAATCCAAGTACTGTATACTACGTGCACTGCATTTCATTGGTCCACTGATTTAGTCATTTTTGTCAAAGAATGAAATAACTTTTATTTATGATCTGTTTTTTGGCCTTGCATTAGTCCTAGTAAGTCATTCAAATCTATATTGAAGAACAAGGGTTCAAATATGCATCTTTCCCTTCCCCCTTGATAAGCATAGATCCTTCTTCTCATGGCTCCATTGAGCTCAAAACTCCCTCTCAAACAAGGGCTTGGATCAGGGCCAACAGGCTGAGCTCCATTTTGAGGGCAAAACATTTTCTCCATCATAATTTTCTGTTTATTGAGTCAAATGCTGCACTAACATCTAGAAAGCAGCAAACCTTGTTTTACCTCACTGATATAGATGAGATATTTCAAGACAAATTGGTTGCCAATATTAGATTATTAATTTATGCATTATTTCTTATAATATCTATATAGCATTTCATTCTACCTAAAACATTCTGCTTCTTCTGCAAGGAATGCATTTTTCTCAAATTTAACTAAGAGGATCATGGAATAAATTTTAGCCACAATATCTGCTAGTCTATTTGGTTTATAGTCCTTTTTATTCCACATTTTAGATGGATAAAATGCTACTATTGCCAACTTCAATCCAACTGGATAGGGCAGGCATTATTTATCTGTGACAATGAAGATGCCAATAGAGGCCCCAACAACCAGGGATATTTTTTGATCAGTTAAATAGTTGGTAGAATGTCTTCTCCAGGGAATGTATTGCTTACATTTCAGGCCTTTTCTGATTAATCTCAGATAATGGGGTAAAATATTGACATATTTGCTAATGTGGAGAAAAGCAGCTCTTATATTCCACGGAGAAGACATGATTGAATCTATTGCTCACCCACCACCACCCACCCCTCACTTTACCAGATACAGAAAAACACACACAAACCTGTGGGATTTTGTAGGTGCCTCCTAATGTTGACATCTGGATGGAGTTCTCCCTTTTAGTTGCATCAATCAGAGCCAGAAGATTCTCCTTCCTTCCACAGCTGTAGTTGGGGACATTGGCTTCTCCAGTGGAGAGCATGTCCAGCAAGGCATCTGAAGTGCGTAAAGTGCTCAGATAGTTGCTATGGATGTTGTAGCCCAGTGTGAGATTGTGAAGGAGTTGGGAATTCTTGTTGACCATTTGAATGGCAAAAATGTACTGTGAGCCATATAAAACACTATAAGAATTCCCATGGTAAAAAATTGTTATTATAATCAACAGCAACAACAAATACTTTTGTTATATATAATAAATATAGTCCTTCACAAGCCTACTGACCTTAAGTCAACATTGATTCAAAACCAATGATCAGTTACACAAATATGGAAATGGGCTGAGATACGGCAACTACAACTGTTTCAATGATTTCTTTAAATAAAATTCATTATCCAAGTGATAAATTAAGGATCAAACAGGGATAATCTGCAACCCTTTCAGTTTTTTTTCAGACCCCTTGTGACAAAATCAGACAAAAGAAAGAAGCCATGGAAATAAAAATCATTCAGGAAATTAGACATATTCCCCAATATAGGAATAAATGAAAAATAAAAAGAGAAAAGAAGGAGAGTGTTTGAATGGAGGGAGTGCAACTCCATCACCCTGAATGACTTACATATCATGGAAAACAAACTGAAGAGAAGGAGCCACGTTGAAAAGCAACTTTGCATGCAATCTTTCCGTTCCAGTGGTGACTATACTGATTAGATGGTCTCCTGGTCTGTAGTAGCTCCATGATTTTCCATCCTGGTTCTCTGAACTCAGCGGGCATTTCATTCTCAGCTTCCCAGAGACTGGATGGGACAAAAGCAGCATCAGAGGCAGAATCAGGAGGTCCATAATTCATGGCATGTACCAATGAATCCCTTTCCTGTTTCTGAAGAAGAATTAGAAGAATCAAAGGACTCTCACAAGGTTGAATATGAACCAGTTGCTTTTTCTCAACACAGAGAAACACTCAGCTTCATCTGGAAAGGAGAGAGACATAGATTCAAGAGCACAGACTCTGCCTGTCCCAAACCTCCATATTTCTCTGCCCAAAGTCTCCCCTGGAGGATTCAGCCAAAGAGCAGAGCTGAGACTTTTAACATAATTCTCCCTCCCAGGAGGGATCCCTGGATAATTCAACTAGTTGTTGGACTTGGAGATTGTTGGGAAATTCTCTGGCGGGAAATGAAAGGGAAATAATCCTCATGTGATTCATAATAACTCCAAGCCCCCATCACAGCCAACGCAGCAAGGGGTTGACTAGAAGACCTCCAAGGTCCCTTCCAGCTCTATTCTGATTCAAAATAGACTCATAAAACCTTCCCTCTGCAGAGAGCTTTGAATATCTCACCCCAAACTATGGCATATCAAGGACATTTTAGATTCCTTGAAACCCATTAAATGGATTAGATGGAATTACATTCCTGGGGGAAAAAATCCAGAGGCTTCAGGTTTTCTATTCCACTTTTACTATTAGGTTTCCCATTGTGCTCAGGTCCAGTCTTAGTAAAACCCTGCAACATTTGGGGAGGAAGGTGCAGCCCAGCAGCCCTGCCCTGGAGGCCCAGAGGGAGAAGACCTTCCCCAGATGACCTGCACTGGGCAACCGAAGGGCCCAAAAGCCCCTGGCCCCCTTATTGCCTGCTTCAAAATTCAGGCCAATCCTCCCTCCTCCCCCAATTCTATTCACAGGCAGTCCTTGACTTACGACCACTGGAATTTCTGCCCTCAGTCGTGGCAGTCATGGAGTCGAAGCAGAGCCAATTTATGACCGTTTTCATGGAGGTCGTTATGCAAATCATGCGCTCATTCAGATCCGGTTCAGGCAGGAACAGGGAATCCTTACGAACAAAACTTACAAACATTTTAAAAACCATATAATAAGAAATTCACTAATTGAGACGGCTGGAAATTAAACGTAAGCACTATATGACGTAAGTCCCAGGCTGGATATCTACATTAGAGGCAACAATGCACCCCAATACAATACACCTCAACGCACCAGCTACTCAAAAAATAATAAGATACAAAGAAATTCTGGATATTAATGGGAGACTCAAATCTCGCCAAGAGCTCAGGGACCAGGGCATAGAAATAGACTGGTGGCCGTATTTACTAATACAAACTAGATATAAAAAAGACAGTGAAGAAGGAGGAGTTGAAATAAAATCTAACCAATTAGATAAATTATTAGAAACTAAAGAGGGAAAATTAATTTCAAAGATCTATAAATACCTACTAGAGTTTGACCTGGCAGAAAACATAGTCAAAGGCCAAATGATAGCTTGGGCTAGGAACATTGGAAGAAATACACAATTAGAAGAGTGGGAAATGATATGGGAAAATAATTGTAGAATAACAAAGGCAACAACGTACAAAGAGAACCACTACAAGATGTGGTATAGGTGGTAGTTAGCCCCTGCTAGATTGGCAAAAATGTACCCAAATTGTAATCCGATGTGTTGGAAATGCAGACAGTCACCAGGAACCTTTTATCATCTTTGGTGGCTTTGCCCAAAAATTAAAAAATTTTGGATGAAAATTAGAATATGGATAACAGAAACAACAGAAGAAGAGATTGACCTAAAACCTGAATTTTTTTTATTAGGCATACTTAAAAAAAGTAGTAGAAAAGTAATAAAATACATCACATTACATATAATTACGGCGGCTAGATTAACCCTAGCCCAAACTTGGAAATTAGAACAGTTGCCAACAGAACAACAAATAATCCAAAAAATATTTATATGTGCAGAAATGGATATATTAACTTTAAAATTAAACAACAAGGAAGACTCACAGTATTACAAAATATGGGACAGATGGTATGAATGGATCAATCGATGGAAAAAAAACTAAAGTCAAACACAGTAAGAAATCAAGGGTAACAAATCGTCATTAAGAAATCAAGGTTAATGTATATATATATTTACATGTTCAAATATAGATAGATAATCCTGTTTGTTAGTTTTAGTATATATGTAATTTAGAATTGTACTTTCTTTTTTAGAGTTAAGAACGTTTTGTACAATCTTTTATCTTTTTATATTGAATAAAGTTTGTTTTTAAAATTGAAAAAAAAGAAAGAAAGAAAGAAACTTCCTCCTGCTTCACCTGGACCAAAATCTCCCTCCGGCTTCTCTGGGGAACCAGGCAGCCATTCCCAGGGGGGCAGGTTTGAGGGGGGATTCAACCTGGGGGTCTCACTGCCTCTCAAAGAATTAATGATATTCTGGGGAGTCCCACAACCTGATTTCTCCTTTTAGAAGGACATAGTACAGGAAGTCCTTGACTTTCAACCACAGTTGGGACAGAGAAACTCGTCATAAAGTGAGACTTCCCCTGACCGTGGCTTGCAACCTTCCCCATTGGCTTCCCCGTTGACTTTGCCTGTTGGAAGCCATGAGAAGATGGCAAATGGCCACCACGTAACCCTGGGACCCTGCAACTATCGTCAATGTGAGCCAGTTGCCGAACGCCTGGATTGCGATCACGTGACTGCAGGGACACTGTAACAATCTGCTTCTAAGTTGTGATTCTCAGCTTTGTCGTAACTTTCAACCATTGCTAAATGAATGGTCATAAGTATTGCAGACATTCAGAGAATCCCAGAATGGAAGCTGTGAGAGGAGACCTTCATGATCATCTAGTCCAACCTTCTCCCCCGTGCAGGAACCCAATGCCACGAATACGCAATTGACATAGACGGATCTCTCATTCTTGTATTTTAATGGGATTTTCTTTATTTTATTTTTTTTATTGAAAAGTTTTACAAAAAGTTTACATATTTCCCCCCCCTTCCCTACCTCAACCTCCCCCCTCCCCCCTCCCCTTCCCAGAACAAATTACAGGGTATAAACTTCAACAATCATAATCAATCCTAATCTAAACAATTATGACATTTCACATCTCTTGTTTCTTCAATTCCCTAATTACCCGCCTAGCTTTATTACTTAAAGACACACTAAATATCTATATAATCATTCATAACCTATCTGCAATTTCTTATTCCGATATTTATTTTGAATATAATCTATCCACCTTCTCCAGTCTCTTAAATATCTTTCATTTGAATGATCCTTCAGGTACGCCGAGATTTTTGCCATTTCCGCTAGATTTATAACTTTCATTGTCCACTCTTGGATTGTAGGGGATTTTCTTTATTTTTATCAGGGAGTTGATGAGAATTATTCGGGGCCAAATCTGATGTCCTTGCAAGGAACTGGACGTGACCTGGAAGGAGAGTCCTATCCAGCTCCATTGGGGCCTCAAAGGCCTGAGGAGAAGCAGCCCAACAGCCAAGAGGAGGAGCCATTTCAGTGCTCGGTGGGTGGAAAACATGGCTAATTTTTCGTAATTATTCAAAAATCTCTCCCAGTGTGTGTGTGTGTGTGTGTGTGTGTGTGTGCATAAGTTTAGTGTAAGAGTTTGAAAGAAAACAGTCCAGCTGCTTGGGTGGTGGTGTCAGCCACTTTCTGTTGTGCTAATTCTTTGTGTGTGTGTGTGTGTGTGTGTGTGTGTGTGTGTGTGTGTGTGTGATGTTGTTGTCTGCACTCGAGCTGATTTTCTCACAGAGCAGGGAGGGATGTGGGCTCTTAAGAAATGTGAAAAATAGAAAAAATCCCCTCCCCCCCCCACATGCTCCTCCACTCCCTCTGGAACCCCTCATCTGCTCCTTCACAGCCGAATGCGGCTCCTTCTCCAAAGGGGTCTTCCCTGTCCTCCTTTTACGGCCAGAAGGCCTCTCACTGCCCCCTCCCCCACTCTCCTCTGGATCCCTCCAGGAGGCCCAAAGACTGGCCACCCCCATCTCTCCCGAAGTTGGACTGGCCAGCAGATCAAGGGGAGGATTGGAGGGCAGAGGGGATTTTTAACATCTCCATTTGCACCCAGACTGACCCCACCAATCTCAAGCCGAAAGGAGCCCCCCCCTGTGACACCCCCCCTCCACCCGCTGTCTTTGTCCATTTCCCTGGGCACAGGATGACCACTGAGTCTGATTCTGTCCACTGCCTCAGACATTCAGCCAGACACGGAGTTCCCCACCGGTGTTCCCAAAACCATCAGGAGCCCCTGTGGATCCCACTGAGAGACCCCCAGAGTGGAGAAATCTCCCACTTCCTTTTCTCCCAGAGATTCTGACGTTTCCCCTTCAGATCATGATCTGTCTGATCTCGGTCCATGCCTGGAATTGGAGGCTGTTCCTGTCCAGCCTCCCCTTTTCCTTCCCTGCGCTGATTATTGGGGTCCTTGGATTCACATCCGGGGCTGTTTCTCTTCCCACCTGGGAGGAAAAGTTGTTTTATATGATCCCTTCCAATTTCAGAGCCTCCCTTTCATTTGAGGCCTATGGAAACACAAGTGAGGGCCCTGGACCTCCTCCCAGCCCTGGGACACAGCGGGTTTCCCTTTTTCTTTGGGAAAGATTCCTTCCCCAATCAGAGTCCCCCTGACTCCCATCATCCACTTCCCTCCCTGCCTAGGATCATCTGAATTCCTCCATTCAGACAAGAGGAAAAAGGGAGTTTGCACAGAGCCTCTGGGTCAGTCTCCATTCTTCAACAGAGGGTCCCACTCACTCTGCAAAGCCAAATTCCCCCTCAGTTCCTGGATACCTCCAGACATCGCTCGGCTGAGCTCACAGCAGGGCCAGGGCGGCTGAGAAATTGGGACGGAAGGGACCACAAACCTTTCCAGCCACAAGAAACACTTGGACACAGACTGTGGTCTCACACACTCTCCTCAATGGTGCCTTTATGTGGCAGTGGGAAGAATTATGGGATCAATCTCACAACCCTCACCCTATAGGGCTGCCCCATCTGTTGTCCCTGGTGGCAGATGGAAGATTGTGACTCCCACTCCTGACCCCAATTTCTTTGGAATCAAACACAGGAGCCAAAAAACCAACAATCCAGGCTCACTGCAGTTGTTATTTATTCAGTGTCCATTGGAGGAATTTCTCCCCAGAAAATAGTGGGAGGAAATATTTAGAGACAAAAGGATGCACTCATATTTATACATTCCAGGAAAGGAGGAGAAAAGGACAATCGTACATATGCATATTTCATTTAATAGATGATGTAAGCATGAATATTCAGAATTAGCAAGTTACCTCCCCAGCCTTGTATTGTTGCTACCCTCAAGAAAGAGTTATTGTGTAAACAAAATGAAATGTCTCAGTTACGTTGCCACAGCAGTTTGGGTGAAATGTACTGAGAAATGAGGGCATCAACGTTGCTCCATACATTCCTTCTATATTTCTGTCTTGCTAATATACTCCAATTTCTCCAAGAAATTTGTCTCCTCACAATCTTCCACACACCCTTTATTTATTTCAATAAAAATAATTGGCCCACTCATGCATGCAGAGCAGCTTGGACCATTTTCTATGTTTGGACTGTGGAACATGTTAAAAGTTGAAATTCCTCAGTCTCACATTTACACATTTCTTCTGGCTGTAAGCTGTGAAGAATACAATAATTTCCAAATTTGAAACATATACGTATGATTTTCTTTGACTCCTGCTTACTATCTAAATGGAAAGAATATCTCCTTTCAAATAAAAGAAACTTTTAACAATTCTTTCAATATCACATTTGTGTTATATCTCATGTTTTTACATTTGTTCTGGCTGTGAGCTGCTCCTTTGTGTTGAGGTCTGGCCTCAGAAGGATAATGTAGCACTTGGGGATGAAGATGCAGCCCAGCAGACCAGCACTGGAGGCCAGGATGGAGAAGACCTGCACAGCCACCATGGATTTCCCTTTGGTGCTCAGGTAGGTGGGCACAAAAGTCACCCAGACACTGCAGAAGACCAGCATGCTGAAGGTGATCAGCTTGGCTTCGTTGAAGGCCCCAGGCAGGTTCCTGGCCAGGAAAGCCACCGTGAAGCAGATGGCAGCCAGGAAGCCCATGTAGCTGAGGGTGACGTAGAACATGACAACGGCCCCTTCGTTGCATTGCAGGATGATCTCTCCAGGCTGGGAGTGGAGGTCAGAGTCAGGGAAGGGGGGAGAAACTCCCAGCCAGATGGAGCAGATGATAATTTGGACAGAAGAAGAAGACAGGATGATGGAGTTGGCCAAGCTCTTCCCCAACCATCTCTTCACTCGGTTTCCTGGTTTTGTGGCCAGGAAGGCCAGCACCACTGTGATGGTTTTGTCCAAGAGAGAAGAAACGGCAACTGAGAAGATGATGCTGAAAACTGTCTGACGGAGAAGGCAGGTGGCTTTCCTTGGTTGACCAATGAAGAGAGAAGGAGACAAGAAGCAAAGCAGGAGGGAGACCAGGAGGATGTAGGAGAAGTCCCGGTTGTTGGCTTTGACAAGAGGAGTTTCTCGGTATTTAATAAAGATGATTAAAACAAGGTCTGTGATTAAGAACAAGAATAGGGCAAAAGAAACCAGGATGATGCCCAGAAGTTCTTCATAAGACAGGAAGGTTATGACTTTGGGGATACACTGAACTCGGTCCTTATTTGGGTATTTATAATCTGGGCACTTGGTGCATTTTTCGGTATCTGAGAAAGCAAAAAAAGCAATATTTCTTTAATATTCTGTCCTTTTATCTTACAGAAAATACCATCTTTGGATAACAGCTGATACCCCAGGCATTTTCCAAGAAGTATTTCTTAACGATTTCATTAAACAGTCACTCCTTTGAAATGGCATAAGGTCTCCTGCTTGATCAGGGGGTAGGACCAAAAGACCTCCAAGCTCCTTTCCAGCTCTGTTCTGATTGATTGATGCACATGACTGGCAGACTATTTGTGTAATGAGTTCCACCCAATAACTATCCATAGAACCACATAGAAGTGACACCACCTCAGTGATCCTCAAGGGGAGGATCCAATATACAGTGGATTGAAAGGTCTTTCAGAAGGTGGACCTGAAACAATTCATCAAGTTTCAAAGAATTCAGATGTTCCTAAGTCCAAACTAAAAAGCAGGAGAGATATTTCATCTGCTATTAGTAAAGCTTGCCCAGTCTGCCACCCCCTCCTCCCATCTCTTCGCAACCCCTCCAGAGTGGAGATGGTCCCCTCCAGACAAGGAACGCAGTCCTAGCAGCAAACCGACACAATGACAATTTTCCTCCATTTAGACTCAGGCAGGGACTAAACAGAAAAAAGGGAATGCCAAAGAAAAGATGTTAAGACTTTCCATCTATAGAAAATGGAGGTAGAAATTGATGGAGACAAGGGTTCTACAAAGAAATGGGGTTCCTTTTTTGGCCTTTTTTTTTTGACAGATAACCAAACTTCCAAATACTATGGATGGATTTGAGAAGACTGTGCTTGTTTATTGTATAGTCTTTAAAATTTGTGAGGATCCGGACTCTCCCTTCAATGGGTCTTGGCAAACACCTAAGTGTTAAATGGAAAGGAAGAATTCTGGTCCAAGGGGAAACATGTTCTATGAGGAGAACAAAGACATTGACTTGTCTCCACTTAGAGAGGGCATCCCTGAGGGGGGCTGTATGTTCAGATGGTGAAAATTGTTGTGATATATCAAGACAAATTCCATTCCTGTCAAGTACAGGAAGGAAAGTCCTATTGAAATTCTCTCCCTCTTCTGTGTCTGAAGCAAAGAGGCCAATCAAGGTCCATCTCAAATGGAGGAGCAGTTGGAGAATTGCTGGGTACGGGAATCCTTCTTTGGGACGCATCTGGTGGAAAAAGGGGAACTGTATCTTGTAACATCTGGAAGCGACCTGGAATTCAGGAGAAATTTCCTAATAGTGAGAACAATTAACCAGTGGAACAGATCTACATGACTGGCAGACTATTTGTCTAATGAGTTCCCCCCATAACTATCCACAGCACCAGATTATGGACCAGTGACACCTTCTCAGTGATCCTCAAGGGGAGGCCAATATACAGATTACAGATCAACAGAGTTGGAGGGGACCTTGTAGGTTATCTAGTCCACTCCTCCCTGCCTAAGCAGAGACCCTACATCATTTCTGACAAATGGCAGTCCAGTCTCTTCTCGAAAGCCTCCAGTGATGAAGCTCCCACAACTTCTGAAGGCCTTTCAGAATGTGGACGTATAACAATTCATCTAGTTTCAAAGATCTCAGATGTTCCTAGAAAGGTAAACTTTACTAATTGCTGTTAGTAAAGCTTGCCCAGTCTGCCACTCCCTCCTCCCATCTCTTTCCCAGCCCCTCCTTCCAAGTCTTTTTGATTTACTTCCGTTTAGATAAGAAATTGTGCAGGTTAAAAATAAAAAACCAGGTGAGCTTCAATCTGTTTTTTAATTTGGATCCAGTTCCAGAAAGCCTCCCATTTTCCTCAGTGTGACCCACCTTCCTGAGTGGAGAAGGTCCCCTCCGGACAAGGAACGCAGTCATAGCAGCAAACTGGCTCTCCTTCTCGAGCCCTCTTGACAAATCCAGGATGGCAACTTTCCACACATTTGGACTGAGGCAGGGACTGAGCAGAAAAACAAGGAATGCCAAAGAAAAGATGTTAGGACTCTCCGTCCATGGAAAATGGAGGGAGAAATGGATGGAGACAAGTAGCCTCTGGTCTTCATTGGGGTAAATATGAAACCTCTGACTACTTATAAAGAGATGCAGGAGGTAAAACAACTGGCAGATTCTTCATTTAGTTCCTTTTGCTTTCGGAATTTAACATTACAATAAAGGACTTTTCTATTTAATAAAAGTCTACAGAGATGGAGTTGATTTTTTAAAAAATATGATGATATATTCTTATTAAAACTGATAATAAAGTTTACTGTAAAAGACTTAGGAAACTTTTATTCCATTAGATATTTTAATGTAGAGTAAAACTGTGATGAAGAAAGAAACCTCTGACCAGTAAGATCTTGAAAGGTTTCCATAAAACATGGCAAAGCCACTTAGGTCCCGTCTCTTGAAGAGCTTCCATGAGATGACACCACCTGGCATGGGAGGCCAACCACCCTGGAGACTCTGGGCTTTGCCCCAGTGGCGAAATATAAAATTTGTTCTTACCGGATATGTGGGCGTGGCTTGGTGGACATGGCTTGGTGGGGTCATGTGACTGGGTGGGCTTGGCCAACTTTTTTTTTTTACTTTTTTAAAGCATTTTTTTACTACCGGTTCCAGCGAATAGGTAGTAAAAAAATGCTTTAAAAAGTAAAAAAAAAAAGGTTCCAATGATCACAGCTGTGCTGCGCGATTGTTGGAACCTTTTTTTACCTTTTAAAAGTATTTTTACTACCAGTTTGCCCAAACCAGAGCAAACCGGTAGCATTTCACCCCTGCTTTGCCCACTTGAAATGGGACCTCAGGCTTTGGAAAACAAGAAAAGACACCAAAATTTATCCCACCTTATTGAGCAACTTTAGCCGTGAAAGAGCACCTTTTTTGATAAAAAGTCTCTGTCTTTGAGAATACATTAGAGTTTCTTCCTTGACATCCCCCTTGGGGAGAACCAAGAAGATTCCGATGCCCAGATCTGCTTTTATTTCTCCATTTTGGTCCAAGTACAGTTTGCAATCAGAAATATTCCAAAATTCGTTCTTCTCCAGAAAGGGATGAAACTAGAATGGGACCATCCAGGAATTTGAAAAACAGAACTTTGTTTCTTATCCCACATTGAATCTTTCTTCCACAATTGTCTAATCTCGAAATATGGTTAAATAGGTTACAAATATTGCCATTATCTTCATAAGTGAATGAGAAAGTTTGAGAAAAATTTGTCCATCATATACTGACAAAGCATAGAGAAAATATAATTGACACAATTGATCAATTATAGGGAACATTCTAGAGCAGATGACAAATAAAATGAACAGAGGGGAAAAAAGATGATTCATAAACTCTTTGAAAACAAGAGGTTGATTCCCAGAAAGCATGGGTTGATCAAGAAGAAAGTTGTCAGGCTAATCTTCTCCCTGGTCATCCTGATGGAAAACACCTCCAGATGGAGAGTGGCTGGCTCTGGAGAATTTGATCGCTGAAGAGGGAGCCGGGTTTAGAGAGGGGAGAGGCACTACCGATCAGTGCTTAGTTCTTCATCAACTGATTGAAAAATACATATCAAATAGACCTGCATCATTCTACGCCTGCTTTAGAGATCTCAAGGCAGCCTTTGATACGGTTCCCAGGACTAAGCTATGGGAGAAGCTGGAAGCTGCCTCAATTGACCACAGGCTTCTTCATCTCTTACCTGCCCTACATACTACAACATCCCTCAAGGTGAGGTGTGATATGCAGGGGTCCCTCTCGAAGTCAGTTAAAACTCAAAAGGGGGTTAAACGGGGGCATTTTGGCCCCCCTGCTTTTCAACTTTTACATAACTGGCATGGTAAAATGGCTAAACAAACCAAATCACATCCCCCAAAAAATAGGTGACTGAAGCATCGCCCTCCTGCTCTATGCAGATGCCCCTGTGATCCTCTCCAGGACACCAGAAGGCCTTAAAAGAGCCTTGCGAGCCCTTCTCCAGCACTGTAATTACAATCAACTGGGCATCAATGATGAGAAAATAAAGATCAAAAGGCCAAAACTTGATTCATGGTATCTAAATGGCCACAAAATAGAGCAGGGAAGCCCCTTCAAATCCCTGGGGGTGGCCATTCAGGCCAAGGGTTCAAGAAACATGCAGCTGCCCTGGGCCAAAGATCAGCCAGCACCATTCTTCATTGTTTCCGCACAAAGGGAGGCTACTATGTCCCTGCTGCTATTAAGCTTTTTGTGCCCAAGTCGCTAGCACATATACAATAATATATGGATAATTAATATATGATAAAATTATATTTCAATATCACCCCTTCAGTCTACCCCAATCAGTCCCACAAATGCCGATCTCAACCGAGCCATTTTGCTCAAGTACTGAGCTGCATTAAATGTTGTTTTCAAATTCTGGCTGCAGATAAGGTGAGTCGTTTTGATATGGGATTCCCAATGGGTCCTTCCTTTGGTATATGGACCAAGGTACCTGCCTCTCACCCTCTGATGCAGGCAGCAATCAAATGGGATGTGAGCCAGGACTTCTGCCTCTGCCACTCTGCAAATGCAGAGACCTCCATTATAAGGTCTAGAGTGGCATCTCCCATATCTGACCCTTGTGTCCAGCTGTTTGAATCTCGCTCGCGTAAATCTCTCCCTAAGATGTTTTGGCAGTTGTAACTTTAAATAGTTGTCTAGTTGAAAAGTAGGTTTGTATTTGCTCAGCCACCCAACTTACTAAGAATAGCCATGTCATTTTGTGCTTCTATATCCTTAATTCTTTGGGCAGCTGTTTTTTTTAATTGTTCTCCTGTTATGGAAGAGACAGGAAGGCCACAGCTACTTCCAAAATTAATCAGTTTAGTGATCCAAGAGGTTTGTCATTGTGAGTTTATCTGCTCTAGTAAGCATAACTCCATTTCATTTCATTGACTTTGTGCCAGTGGTTATATGCTTTGATTTTGGATAGTGGATGAATTGTATAAATTCCCAATTCAGCTCTAACTGCTGCAGCAGATGTCCTTAGATCTACACCCACAATACAGCTCAGGTGCTGGGACTGTGTTTGTTCTAGTACTGTGGTTGAGTAGAAATCCCAAACTTCTGCTCCATAAAGAGCATAGGGGGAACCTTTATATCAGGGGTGAAATGCTCCCGGTTCGGACCGAATTGCCCAATCCGGTAGCGATGGAGGTGAGTGGTTCGGAGAACCGGTAGCAAAAATCCTTGCCCCCCCCCCGATGCCTAACTGAGCCACACAATCATCAGAGGATTTTTTTTTACTTTTAATAGCATTTTTTCTACAACCTCTTCGACCAAAAAATGCTTTTAAAAGTAAAAAAACAAAGCCTCTGATGATCGTGTGGCTCAGCTGGGATCGTCAAAGGCTTTTAAAAGAAAAAAAACTTTTAGTATTCTATTTTATTCTATTTAGTAGAATATGATCTGATGGAAGAAGTGGTTAAAGACCCAATGTTAGCATGGGCCAAAAATATTGGGGAAAATATAAATTTGGAAGAATGGGATCAAATATGGAATAACAATATAAGACTTACTAAGGCAACTACCTACAAGGAGAACCAGTACAAGATGATCTATAGGTGGCACCTAGCACCAGCTAGGAATGCCAAGATTTATCCCAACTTAAACCCAAAGTGCTGGAAGGTACTTTTTACCACTGCTGGTGGACCTGCTCTCAAGCAAAAAAATATTGGAAGATGATTGGCAATTGGCTTTCAGAAATAATAGGTGAAACCTTTGAATTAGATCCTAAAATATTCCTCCTGGGAATTCTCAAGACGGAAATGGCAAAAAAGAAGAAATATTTGGCAGTGCATATAACAACAGCAGCAAGAATCGCCTTCGCTCAACAATAGAAAGAGAAAAAAATACCAACTAAGGAACAAGTAATTGGCAAAATAATGGAATGTGCCAAGATGAATAAATTAACGCTAGAAAATAATGATAGAGAAGATTCTGACTATTATAGCGTGTGGGACAAGTGGTACGGGTGGTTAGAGAAGAGGAAGATGAAATAAAAAATGAAAGAGACCAGAGTGAGTACAAGAAATAGTTAAATGAAATAGAAAGAGAAGATGTACCGTAGATGGTAGAAAATATAACTAGGTAAGGAAAGGTTACATAGGTAAGCAAAAGATATGACTTATGTATTTATTAATTTACCTTTAAAGACCTATGATATATATATATACATTAAGAATGATATAAGAACACATTTTTATTTCATGTAACCGTGTAGCAAAGATTATCCATATGTACAAACATTTATATTTTTATTTATTTCCTTTTTCTACACTATGTAACCGGATGGACAAAAATTGTATTATTATAATTTCTTAATAATAAAACATTTAAAACCAAATAAATGAATGAATAAATAAATAAATAAATAAATAAATAAATAAATAAATAAATAAATAAATAAAAGAAAAAAACCTTTTTTTCTTTTAAATGCCTCTGATGATCCAAGCTGAGTTGCCTGATTGGCAGAGGTTTTTTTAAAAAGCCTCTGCCGATCAGGCAACTTAGCTGGCATCGTCAGAGCCCTTTGAAAGCATTTTTTTACACCGAAGAGGTTGTAGAAAAAAAAAAGTTTAAAAAAAATCAGCCACGCCCACCCAGTCACATTAGCCCCTCCCCTCCAAGCCACACCCACAGAACCGGTAGTAACAAATTTTAGATTTCACCACTGCTTTATATACTTTAATTAATGGGCCAGGGATTGAAGGTTAGGGATAACTTTTTGCTATTGGACATCAATTTTTCTATGTTACTATTAATACAGTCAAGTTGATAAATCCCCTTCACGCAAGATTTGATCTAAGATGTAGATCCTAGAGTAAGCTAATTTGATGTGATTTAATGTGAGAGATAAGTCCTCTCGGGATTAGCTGTGACCATTGATTGGTTATCAGCTTGTAAGTTTGAACTGACCAATCATGCCACAGTAACTGATTTCGAGTTTTCCCGGGCTTTTCCAACGGACATTCTTGGAGTATATAAGGGAGGGCTTTCCTAGCCCGCAACACACACGGAGAGACTGAGACGCGCTCACGCAGACAGAGAGAGAGAAAAAGCTGAAGTCACTTCAAAGGAGCAAAAGAGCTGAGTCACTGCCTTGTTTCCGAGGAAGCAGAGAAAGGACCGAGAACTCCCTATGCTGATGGAAGACTCATGAAGAGTTGATGGACTTCGCTTCATTTAAAAAGTTTGATAAAATAACAATGGTATTAAATCAACTTAAAGGCGATAATCAGAAGCAAGCAACAATTGTTGAATCGGATGGATTGGATGGATGGATGGACTGGAAGTGAATTTGCTGCTGGGATCCCTGAAGGAGGAGTCTGCTTTGAAGGCAGGCTGCTTGGAGATGGCTGGAGAGGCCATGGACCCTGAAGACTCAGAGTGGACAGAACTAAAGGAAATAAATAAAGGTCATTCTTTTATCAATTGTAAAGTGTGAGACTATCTGTCTGCTGTTTTCTGACTATGTAAAGTGACCACAAATGGTAATCAGTGGAGACAATGCATTATGACTTGCTAAGAGCTCCCCAGGAAACAGGAACTGAAGCCTTGAGCAAAAAGCTATCAGGAGACAGGATCATCGGGGATGGAGGGAAATTGTCAAGAAGACCCTTTAAAGTGTAAAACAACTTAAAGGATGACTTAGGAGAATAAGGGGGTGTTATGTATGTATCTAATTTGAGCGGGAGTTTCAAATGGAGAAATGTTTGTGATTGGTTAACGAGTGTTTCTGAACTGTATATAAGGAGGGCTTTTGCCTGTGTTTCTTTGCTGAAGTCTCACCCTGAATTAAAGAGCTGTTGTCACTTGCTTGCTTGTGCCTCTCGTTATTCCCACGCTACAACATTGGCAACGAAGGTGGGATTGAGGCCACAAGAAGCAAATCAAAAAGAGCTTGAGTTTCAACCAGGGTGACGAAGCAGACAACAGGAGACATACTGCAATGTCTGCCTACGTACCGCCCAAGCCCTTCGACCCAACCCGGGAGAAATGGGGGTTGTATCTAACCAGGTTCGAGTGTTCCCTGGAAGCCAGCGAGATGCAAGGACTCTCAGCAAATCGCAAGAGAGCCCTCTTCTTGAGCCACTGCAGGCCAGACGTGTCCGAGATGGAGGAATCCCTATGAGAACCAACGCCGGTCCAGACCGTTCCCTGGGACGTGCTCCAAGCCACTCTCAAAGCCCACTACGCTCCTGTGCCTTCTAACTTTGTACAGCGCTATGAATTCCGGCAACGAGTACAAAGGGAAGGAGAACCGGTCAGCACATACATGGCAAGCCTCCGAAAAGCCGCAACCCATTGCGACTATCGAGATCTGGACAACGCGCTTCTCGAGCAATTAATTTGTGGTGTTAAAGAAATGAGACTGCAGAGGCGGCTACTCGCAAAGCCAGACTTAACCCTAGCCGGCGCTCTAGATGAGGCCAGAGTGCATGAAGCTTCCACAAAAGCCACCGAAGCTCTACAACACTTGCTATTGAGCAAAGACACTCCTAAGTCAACGCCGGTGCACCGGGAGGAAGCGCAGACCAGCATCGAGGAGGAGTTGGACGAGGACATCTTCCACACAGAGAGAAGGAAGAAGGAACAAAACAACTGCCAAGGAAACTGCTCGAGTTGTGGTGGGGCTCACGAGAGACAGACCTGCAAATACCGAGACGCCGTTTGCAGGCGTTGTGAGAAGAAAGGACACTTGGCAAGGGTCTGTAGAGCCATAATTCCAAGAAACTACCAATCACGTGACCACCACAGCCAACCAGAACCAGCACGACATAAACAGCCAACCAAAGATGGCGGCGCGAGAAACTGGCGCGAGAATCAAAAGTGGGAAGCCTACAGCACGAAAATCAGCCAAGCCAGCATGTCTGTCAAAGAGAAAATCTACACCAAAGTAGAAATCGAAGGGAGGCCATGCGAGATGGAGATCGACACCTGGTCTGCCCTGTCAATCATGTCCTGGGCGACACTAAAGACTCTTCTACCCAACTTCAGCAAACAGCAAACAGCCTGCTTTACCTACGTTTTCATTTTCAGCATAGCTTGATTAGCACAAGGGGAAAAAATCTGCTCCAGCAATTTACCTCTTTGCAGCAAGCAGCAGAGCCCTGTGCAAAACAACTGAGTCAGGAGGCCGATCCAATCAACTTGTAAATAGGAATGTGCTGAATCTGAAAGGAGCTGTTTTTTATTGCTGTTTGCTTGCAAGGAGGCAGAGACCAAAGGGTGGGGGCCAGTGGGTGGGCAGGGCTATATTTGGTGTATAAGACACACCTAAATTTTCACCCCCTTTTTTGGGGGGGGGGAAAGGTGCATCTTATACTCTGAAAAATACAGTAACTGGAAACAGAATCTGAGTCAGCAGGGAGATGTTCATGGAAAGAAGGCAAATGCAGCCATAAGAATCTCAGGAAGTGAACGTTCTGGTTTGGGGAGACCCCAACTCAAGGACCAGGTCCCCTTGCAGGCACCACAAGTGGAGGAGAATTTGCTGTTTTAGAGCTGAACCAGTGAAGCAGAGAAGTTCAGTCTCCTCTTCATGGATTGTCTGAATGCAAAACTGAGCAGCCATCAGTCAGAGAAGCTTTAACTGGGATTCCTGCAGAGAGGAGGGGTTGGGCTAGATGGTCTCAGGGTCTCCTCCAAATTTATAAAGGTTGTCATGCCACAACATGTATCTATTGTGCTGTTGTTGCTCTAGCCCCACCTGGTGGCCGGGGGCAGATAAGCCTCACTGTATGGTCTGAAGCCAGACTCCCTTTTCTCTCAGCCTTTGGAGGAGACGGAAGCAGCCGGTTTGACCGAGACACATGGTCATCCGGAGGCCTCCGTCCCTCACACGGAGCATCGCTGGAGAGGTTCCAGCTGCTTCTTTGTTGGCTGTTAGTTAATGCTGCCTATCTCCTATTTCTATTTGAGTCTCACTCTTTGCATTTCCTCAGTTTCTCCGTGCCCTTTTCTCCCAATGAAACACCCAGATCCACCCCAGGCTCCCTTTCACTGGAGGAGAAGAGGGGGGTCAGCTGCCTCTTGAGCTGCACACAGACCCACCTGCAGTGGGGACGGAACAAAGGGGAAATTCCACCATGCTCATCACAAACCCACAAATACAAGAATTCATTTAAGAAAGAATACAGCATTTTCAAATTAGCAGAGTTTAATGTAAAAATGCCATGGTATCTACTCTTTGGAGCCATTATTCCCTCAGCAATTGAATTGGACAGATCTGTTGAGGTGGTTCCCCACCTTCTTCTCTGGATTCCTCCTACAAAAGATCTAAGATTAATGCATCCATATTGGGACCCCCATACCTGCCACGGCTGCAGCCTTGGAGACCCCAAAGTCTTTTCTCCCTCCTTCCTTCTCCTCCTCAATCTGGAGGAATAAGCGGCATTCAAGGCCTGGGCCAGAGTCTGAATGAGACTGTAATGATGGTAGTGATTTGGGATCTGGATCCTGTTCCTTTTCTCCTGGGTCTCCAGTGGGGCTTTCTGGGTGCATCTTCTGCGGCCTTTGACAGAAAAGACGTTCTTTGAAAGAGAACAGCGGAAATAAAGATCTTGAAACTTTCTTTCCACAAAGAAAAGGGGTTCAAAGGCATCATCCATTGGCCTTTTTTTTACCTGATAACTAAAGTTCAAAATACTATGGATGTATTTGAGAAGTCTACGCGTTCTATGCTTGTTTATTTTATACCCTATAAAATTTGTGAGGATCCAGACTTTCCCTTCAATGGGTCCTGGGAGACGCATAAATGTTAAATGGAAAGGAAGAATTCTGCCCCAAATGGAATCAAATTCAATGAAGTGAACAAAGACGTTGACTTGTCTCCACTTAGAGAGGGAATCCCTGAGGTATGCTGTATATCCACGTGTTGAGAACAGTTGTGATATAACAACACAAATTCCACTCCTGACAAGTATAGGAAGAAAAGTCCTCATGAAATTCTCTCCATTTTCTGTGTCTGAAGCAAAGAGGCCAATCAGGGTCCATCTGAAATGGAAGAGCAGCTGGACAATTGCTGGGTATTGGATCCCTTCTTTGTGATTCATCCGGTGGAAAAAGGGGAATTGACTTTTATCACTCAGAGCCTCTGAAACCATGTCATGACGGATCTGAAAAAGCAATGAAGAATGCTATGTTATATTTGGGGTCAAATCAAGTCCAAAATATTAGATTTTAATAAATCCAACTTGGTTCTCATGAATGTTATTAGAATAGTTTGTTAATCAGACATTGTTTAAAATATTAAAGACAGACTATTAGCAAAAAGAGCCTGTAGTACAGTGGACTAAAGCACTGTTATTAACATCTGCTGCTTGCAATTACTGCAAGTTCAAATCTCACCAGGCTCAAGGTTGATTCAGCCTTCCATCCTTTCTAACGTAGGTGAAATGAAGACCCAGATTGTGGGGGCAATAAGCTGACTTTGTATAAATATACAAAAGTATCAAGGCTATTGCTTAACGCATTGTAAGCTGCCCTGAGTCTCTGGAGAAGGGCGGCATCTAAATTAAAGCAAAAAAAAAAAAGATTGTATAATAAAAGTGGAAAATAATGAGCAAATTAAAAAACAATAAAAATGTAAACCATATTACTGTATCACCTCTACAATTGATTACAATTAGATTAACACGTGCAAATGCCAACTGGAGTATTCTATTCCAATAAAGGGCCTATTATAATTTTCAAGGATAACTGCACCTTTTTTTGCTTCTCTATCCCAGATTCTTTCTGGAGGAAATTTTTTAACTTCTTTCTCCAGTTATACAAGAAACAGGCAGAACTCAAAGCCTAATAAGATTTGTCAGTTGCATAATCCAAGTTTGGTCTTTAATTGAAGTTTTGTCTGTTCCAAGAGCCACAATTTTCAGAGTCTGTCAGTTTCCATAGATTAAATGTTATGCCAATGTCCATTTTCTGAATTTAGACAAAGCAGAAATTGTGTAAATTCCCAAATCAGCTCTGAGGGCAGCAGCTGGAGTCCTTTTACCCACCCCAAGATCCTCCTCAGAGGCTGAGATTGGGTTGGCTCTGCTGGTGGTTTCTCTCTGAAGCCCCAAACATCAGATTGATGGAAGAACATGGGGGAAAACTGGGCCTCCTATACTTTAATAATTGGGGCTGAGGAAGCTGGAGAGCTGTGAGGTTTTCATTTCAGCACCACTTTCACTCCTGCCCTTTCTCTAACTGAGCTCCTTGGATGATGAGGGAGCCAAGATTCAGGCTCAGAGAAAACAACCCCAGGTAAGGAAAGGTGTTACTTGCTCTAATGGCTGACCATCTATGGCTGTGATGTCATTTCACAAAGACCATAACTTTTGAACTTTGAATCCAATGTATAAGTATGATAAAATCACATTATCTGTATAAATCAGTGTATTCGAATAGAAATTTAGCAGGCTAAGCATGTGTACCTATAACAGAACTTATAACAAAATAAAAGGGTTGGAAGGGACCTTGGAGGTCTTCTAGTCCAACCCCCTGTTCAAGCAGTAAACCAGGTTTAATAGCAGTAACTGTGAGAGGGATCCTGGAGTCTTAGTGGACAACCAATTAAATATGAGTCAAGAGTGTGCAGCGGCAGCCAAAAAAGCCAATGCAATCCTATATTGGATTAACAGAGGGATACAATCAAGATCAAGAGAGGTACTAATACCACCCTATAAAGCCTTAGTAAGACCACACCTAGAATCCTGCTTCCAGTTTTGGTCACCACACTATAAAGAAGAAGTTGAGACTCTAGAAAAAGGGCAGAGAAGAGCAACCAAGAGGATTAGGGGACTGGAGGCTAAAACATACAATGAACGGTTGCAGGAACTGGGCAGGGCTGGTCTAGTGAAGAGAAGGACCAGGGGAGACATGATAGCAGTCTTCCAATATTTGAGGGGCTGCCACAGAGAGGAGGGGGTCAAGCTATTTTCCAAAGCACCCAAAGGCCGGACAAAGGCCAGACAAGGAATAATGGATGGAAACTGAACAAGGAGAGATTCAAGCTGGAAATAAAGAGATAAAGTTGCCTTCAGAAGTTGTGGGAGCTTCATCACTGGAAGCTTTCAAGAAGAGACTGGACCGTCATCTGTCAGAAATGGTGTAGGGTCTGCTTGGACTAGATGACCTACAAGGTCCCTTCCAACTCTGTTAATCTGTATCTATCTATACTATTCCAGACAAGTGGCTGTCCAGTCTCTTCTTAAAAGCCTCCAGTGATGGACCACCCACAGTTTCTGAAGGGTAGACGTTCCATTCTTCACCATTAGGAAATTTCTCCTTAGTTCTAGGTTGTTTCTCTCCTTAATTAGTTTCCCTCCATTGTTTCTTGTCTTGCCTTCTAGTACTTTGGAAAACAGGTGGACCTCCTCTTCTCTGTGGCAGCCCCCCCCAAATATTGGTACATTGCTATGATGTCACCCCTCGTCCTTTTCTGTATACTAAATGCACTGCATTTCATTGGTCCACTAATTTAGTCATTTTTGTCAAAGAATGAAATAACGTTTATTTGTGATCTGTTTTTTGACCCTGCATTAGTCCTAGTAAGTCATTCATATCTAGACTGAATAACAAGGGTTCAAATGTGCATCTTTCCCTTCCCCCTTGGTAAGTATAGATCCTTCTTCTCATGGCTCCATTGAGCCCAAACCTCCCTCTCAAACAAGGGTTTGGATCAGGGCCAACAGGCTGAGCTCCATTTTGAGGGCAAAACATTTTCTCCATCATATTTCTCTGTTTATTGAGTCAAATGCTGCACTAACATCTAGAAAACCTGCAAACATTGTTTTACCTCACTGATATAAATTAGATATTTCAAGACAAACTTGTTGCCAATATTAGATTATTAATTTATGCATTATTTTTTACAAAATCTACAAAGCATTTAACTCTACCTAAAACCTTCTGCTTCTTCTGCAAAGAATGCATTTTTCTCAAGTTTAACTAAGAGGATCATGGCATAAATTTTAGCCACAATATCTGCTAGTCTATTTGGCCTATAATTGCTAGAGTAATTTTTATTCCACATTTAGACAGGTAAAGTGCTATTATTGCCAACTTCAATCCAACTGGATAGGGCTGACATTATTTATCTGTGAAAATGAAGATGCCAATAGAGGCCCCAACAACCAAGGATATTTTTTGATCAGTTAAATAGTTGATAAAATGTCTTCTCCAGGGAATGTATTGCTTACATTTCAGGCCTTTTTTGATGAATCTCAACATGAACATAATGGGGTAAAATATTGACATTTTTGCTAATATGGAGAAAAGCAGCTCTTGAATTCCATGGAGAAGACATGATTGCATCTATTGCTCACCCAACCACCACCCACCCCTCACTTTACCAGAGGGAGAAAAACACACACAAACCTGTGGGACTTTGTAGGTGCCTCCTAATGTTGACATCTGGATGGAGATCTCCCTGTTAGCTGCATCAAGAAGAGCCAGAAGGTTCTCCTTCCTTCCACAGCTGTAGTTGGGGACATTGGCTTCTCCAGTGGAGAGCATGTCCAGCAAGGCATCTGAAGTGCGGAAAGGTCTCAAATGGTTGTCATGGATGTTGTAGCCAAGTGTGAGATTGTGCAGGAGCTGAGAATTCTTGTTGACCATTTGAATGTTGAAAATGAATCGTACGCCATATGAAAAACCATAAAGATCCCTATTGTTAAAACATGGTATTATAATCAAAAGCAACAATAAATATTGATTTTAATATATAATCCTCCACAAGCCTACTGAGCCTTAAACCAACATTGATCCAAAAGCAATGATCAGTTACACAAATATGGAAACGGGCTGAGGTATGGCAACTACAACTGATTCCACCACTACTTTAAATTCATTATTCAAGTGATAAATTAAAGATTGAAGTGAGTGTCACTGCGTTATTTTATTTACCAGCTGAGCTCATTATTTCTGGACTGTCAGACTCTCCGTAGCTTTGCCAACTTCTTATCAGTAAGCTACGTGTTTCCGTATCCACCCACATTCCTTCTCACACTCTTTTCCTTTGTTCTCTTTCCAGCAAGGTCCGGCTGAAAGATAGCCGGCCCGAATTACTTTCAAAAATGTAACAATTAACTTTTCTTAGTTAGTGAGGTGTTTTATTTTCTTTATAACAAATAAATGAGTTTTATTAGAAACCTTCTTCGCGTTTTCTTTATCAGAATAGTGCAACTTGGAATAAGCCTCGATTCATCTCCTCCTTTAAACCAGGGTAATTAGTCCCAGAGCCAAACATGGGATTAATAAATGCCCTGACATTCTGGTAGCACGAGGATGGTCTGATTTATGGCTTTTTCCTTGTTTTTGTTACTTCTGATAAGAGCGCATAGGCAATTAGTTTTTAGCTACTGAGGTACGCTAATTATATTGCTGAGATGCTGAAACAGAAGAAAAAAAGGCAAAGTGAAACCAAGACCACTCTTCGTAAATGATTTGATTGATCTTTCCAACGAAGAGGTGGCAGACAGGAGGTTTCCAGATTTCCAGCCCCTTACTACAGCCACACGCCTGGAACGAGAAGAAGCCGTGGGAACAGAAATGGACGGAGATAAGACAGAAGCTGTTTTTGAAGATGATGATTTACGACTGAGGTCAGTAACATTTTCTTCTG